ATTTGGCATTATCTCTATACAGCTGTGTTTTGATAAATGTGCAGAGTATAGTTCCCACCACAAAGCAGCCTTGTGTAGGCCAGATTCGATAAGAAGAACGCTTTCCAGCTGAGTGGGAGCCTGGCTCAGTCAACTCATTCGCCTTCTTCCTCCAAAATTCTGAACATGTAACAAAGATGCATTTCAATAATACGGGGGGTGGGGAGGGAGATGGCTCAGTAGAATAAGCACTTCCCTGGCAAGTGCAAGGGTCTAAGATAAATCCCCAGTTCTTCACCCCCCCAAAAAATAATTATAATACAAGGGGACTTAATAAGTTAATTATAACAAAAAACGTTTGAGGAGGAAGGATAAAATAGCTGATTTTTCTATTTAACTAATAAAAGCTATGGTATTGCAGAAAAACAATGAAAATATTAGATAAGCATCTGTGATGTGGATTAACAAAAACACAGAAAGGATATTCTGATCTCTGTGTCAACATTAATAAGTGCCCCGATCCAACATCTTCTTGCCTTTGTTTTAATTTAAATGTAAATTTGGATGAACTATATATTTTTGAATCTCTTTATTCTTATTGACAAATAAGATAACAGGGACATATCAGCAAAGAATGGGTCTTTCCATATGCCAATTAACAGCATGATACTGCATAATTATTATGGGATAAAGATTAAACAGGTAAAGCTAAAAAGCCCTAATGGAAACATTCAGATAAGAAACAGATCAGGGGAATAGAAAACAGACATCATCCTACCAAAGCTGAAACTTACTACAAAACCCTACTGACTTTTATCCAATGAATTATATGGAACCCTGTTTCCCAGGTAGTTCTAGGTGTGAATGATGTTAGCGGAAGACACAGTCACAATCTGACCCTTCAGATCTTGGTATTCGCAGGCCATAAATGCTACACACATACCATGTTGCCTGCACTTTGCAATATGAAGCTGCTAGTGACAAGTGCCAGTTTAAATATATACTCATGATGGCCATACTGACAGATGCATAAATATACTGATATGCCATCATCACACGAGCTATCTCTCTACATGGACATAAAGGAGAAAGAATATTTGCATCATCACAGAAAGTTCTAGAGCTGTAGAGATCCTGGCCACATGCCACATAATAGTCTCCATCACTCATCTTATGATTAGGAAAGTCATTTAGTTAGGCCTTAAGACTTTTATTTGTCAGAGACACAACAAAATTTCCATGAATAGAGGAACAGCCAAATGAATTATCACCTGTCCAATGGCACTATGTGGAGCATCTGAAAACTCCCAGTTAAACCCATCTCTACAACATAATACTAACAAAAAGGCAGATGGACTAAGAAATCCTCATTGTGATACTATTTGTGAAGAAACACATTCATTTTGAAATTTACCATGGGCTACATACTTACCTCCAAGTACACAAATACATAGAAAACTATGCTGACAAAAAAGATAAGGTCAAGGATGGTTGCCAAAGGTGATTTTGTCTACTTTAAAACAAGCTAGTTTAGGGTACATGAAGGTTAATTATGGCATGTCAGCTTGGAAGGATTAAGAAAGCCCTAGTGGGTTAGCAGAGTACAGTTCTGCATTTGTCCATGAATGATTAACATGGAGGCCCTAAAGTGAGGAGAGAAAACCCAGCCTGGGTGTGAGTGGCACCAAGCAACAGGGTTGTAGCCTGGATAGAACCAGAAGGAGAAAGTAAAAGGGAGTCTTCACTGAGTGCCTGCAGAGCAGCTCTGAGCTCACCGCTGCCTTTAGATGCTTCTCTCCAGTCCTTCAGGCTTCCAGCCAGACTCCAGCACACATGCTACAGCTTTCTGACAAGGACTCACACTGGATCCTGCAGCGGGCTCCAGGCCTTCAGACGTCGGCTGCTCCTCCAGCTTTCCAGCACACAGATGGCCATTTTGCATTCTCCCACCCCTGGTTCCACAGGAGGCCATTGTGATAATAATCTGCTCAGTCAATCCTTTATGTAATCATGTATTTTTATATTCATTTGGTGAGTACTAATACAAGTAAGGCGTTCATATTTTCTTGGATAAAGATGGTAACAGTTGTTACTCTGTCAGTACTTTCCAGGCTCTAATAAAAATGCTAAATACTATAAAGCATTATATGTAAGGCTTTTTAAATCTGAACATTCTAGGCTAGACAGGATATAAAAATAGCTTACATTATGATTCACAAGTTTCTCCAAGAAGTTTAAAACTACAGAGGCAGGCAAATGCAGTTGTTACCTTTCTAGACCATTCTGTGACTAGTGACGTTGAGTCAACCTTACTTCCGCCACACTAAAACTAGTTCATGGACAGCCAATGCAGAGATAAGAATAGGAGCCCATCCCTGCCCACAAGTGGCTTACAGAATGGCAGGATGGGAGACATGCAGCAAGTTTTTACAAAATAGGATGTGTGCCATGAGTTAGAAGTGTGGAGAAACATAAGAATCTACAGGAATTCTGAAAGCAAAATAGGAATTAACTAAGCCCCATATGTGTCAGGACAAGGAAGACAGGAATTCAGAAGAAAGAACATGAAGAGTGAGAAGGGAATGGAAACAGTTTTAGTTAGGGAAATGTAGAGTTGAAAGGGAGCAATGAGACAGAGCCAGGTCATGCGAGGCTTTGTAAGACACAATAAGGAATCCCAAGATTTCTCCTAAAGATAAGAAGTATTTTAAATGTAGCTTTGAGGATGTAAGAGCAAGCTCTGTTTGTGAAAAAGGACCTTTGTGACTACAGGATGAAGGATGGAAGGCTAGGAATAGTAAGTCCAGCAAATGTTATGCTGCCTCTAGACTACAGGGCAAGGTGGCAGAATATGCATGACTTGGAATCAGAAGAGACCAGCATTCTACTGTCCTGGCTGAGGATATAGGCATCTGGAAATTTTCATTTAAATTTCTTTTTTTTTTCATTTATTCATATCACAGATCCTCTCCCTTTTCTAGATCTACCATGCGTTTATCAATAGACCCCAAATGTAAACAACTCTAAAAAGGAAATGATTTTCTATAAGATAGCAAAAGCTGATTTGAATTAGCATAAGGTGCTTCATATTCCCCTCTACCATTCTGCATGAATATTCATGTATAGCACTATAAAAATGTCTGTGATTATGGTGTATGTATGGAAAACACAATAGGTCTGCTAGATAATAGATGGTGTGCACATTGCGTTCCCCTTAGAAACCAACTATGAACATTCTCCGGAAGGAGAGGCAACAGCGTCCGAGGAATACAGCCCTCAGCGTTTCTGATAAGGAATTGTGTATGGGGAATTTTCTGCTTGCTTTTGCCTGCATTAAAGGTAACTGGGATTGTGCTGATACATACCACTGTGTCTACAGAGCCTGGAAACTCATAATTCATGTGCACCTATGTGTGTTTGGTAGGGGAGGCATGCTGCAAGTCAGCTCTTATTGCACAATCAACCATGAGACCTGGAGTTAGGAGTGTGTGTCTGTTTGCGTTTGAACTGCTGACCTTTAGCCGTTCACCTACGAGATGCGCAGGCTTCCAAATGGTTCCTGTTGGGGAATTTTCTGGGCACTGGCACCATGGAACAGCACCTACGAGATGTGCAAGCTTCCAAATGGTCCCTTCTCAGCGAGTTTTCTGGGCACCGGCACTGTGCAGCAGCAGCAGCAGCAGGGATAACCCCATGTGTCTGTTCCCCTGGGAGCAGTTGCTTGTTTCTAACAAGCTGGCTATTGGAAGAAGCCAGAGACACCAAAAAGAAGCAATTCCAGGCCTTCTCTTACAAGCATCAATATTCACTGATACAGGTTTTTAGACATTGGCCCAGTGATCTGCTAGGGGATTGAGAGTTTACAAATGAATGATATATGATTCCAAAGTATTCTCAGGGAAGTTGTTCCAAAGATGTTCTATAAATGTTTGTTAAAATAATAAACTAGAAATAATAGGAAAAATAGCTCTATAACAGAATAAGGTTAAAAGGCCAGATGGCTAGTTTTAAGGGCACATTAGTCAGCCCTCCTTTTCCTGTGCGCTCAGACTCCGTCTCAAGGGACAAAGAAAAAAGGCATTTTATTTTATTTTTTATTTTTTATTGAGAAATAAATATGAATGAGACAGTTTCACAGCTGATTAACAGGACAGTTGTGATAGTCAATACACTGTACATTGTTATCTTCTTAGTGGTTATCCATAGTACAAGAAGCAGACAGGATATTCTGTCCAAACACTGTTAGTACACCTCTTTCTTCTCATTGAATTAAGCAAAAGTAGCTGTAAAATTATCCTAACTATTTTGTATATATAAATACAAAATGATCTTTCCTTTGTATCCTTTTTTTTGTCCTGTCAGAGGTGAATATTCTATTGACATCTAAATACTATAGGTGTTTGAATTGAACTAAACAATCTAACACTGTCTAGCAAAAAGGCATTTTAAAACCAGGATCTGTACTGAACGTGCACAGATGTTTTCCCTGTCATTCTGCAAGCAGTACAGTACAATGATTTATGTAATATTTATATTATATTGGGTATTGCAATTAACTTTGAGAAGATTTAAAACATACAAAAGCATGTGTGGAGGTTAGAGGCCAGTACCATGTGCTTTTCTATAAAGGACCCAAGCACCTACAGCTGCACACCAGCAGAGGATCCCAGAACCAATGCCCAAGGCTGTTAAGGGTCAAATGCATAAAGAAGAGGAGAAGAGAGCATCTGGGGAGCAAACAGCTTTCCTGGGAGAGATCTGGAGATGAGTGAGTAAAGGCCTTGAAATACATCTCCCCCTACAGGCCTGGAATGGAGTGCCCTGCTGGCACCTCCTGAGAAAAGTTATAAAACACATATTCACCAGAAATTTTTAGCTTTGGACTTCTGTTTACTTTTGGATTGATTCTGACCTGAAAGCAATGAAGATTTCCAAGGGCTGAGAAGACTGCAAGGCAGGCAAGGTCTTCAGAGTCTCAGGCCTTCTAGGAATACTGGGGGAATTGACTGGAAAGGTCTTACCTTCAACACAGGAAGGTTGAGCCCGCGTTGTGCCTGCAACCTGCCCTGGGAAGCAAGAGCACTTGACTGTCTGCGAGCGCTCTTCAATGCGGTTCTTGTTGCAGCACCGATGCACCGCGACCACCTCACAGGTTCCTTGCTTGATTTGGTGGTGGCCTGGTAGGTAAGGAGGAAGAAAAGCAGACCCAGGCTGTTAGGAGAAAATGAAACCACTGAAAGCATAAATAATGCAGTGACTACATTTTTCCAATTTGGTGTAGTGTGCTTACGAATCTTAGCATTTTATTTTGATGTAATTTAAATTTTCTACAAGAGTAATAAGAGGAATGCAGTACAATGTACCCCTATGGCATGCAGATATTTGACCTCCAGGACCTTTGGGGTCACATCCATAGTTGTGTTATAGTAAATGACATGACACAAGGGACTTTGCATATGTGATTAAGATGACTAATAGGCTGGTTTGAAGAGCGGGATTGTGACTTGAATTATTGAGTGTCATGGTTTGGAGTTTTTGCAAGGCAAACAATATAGTACAGGACAGGTTTTATAATGTTAGTTTATAAGGAATCACCCAAGAATGATATGCAAGTACAGGAAATCTATCCACACGCACTAAATACTAAAGACTCAAGCAAACAGTCTGGATCCCAGTATCCTGTGTGAGCCAAGCTGAAAACCTCGAGCTCATAACAATGCCTCCCACAAATTCAACTGGAGGTCTAGAGCCCATGACAAAGTCTCATGAAGGCCTGCTTCATGGATCTGTACTGAAAAGACCCAAAGGTCAGGGGTGGAAACTAGGAAATCTATGCCAGTGGGATGAAGGATCTGTGCTAGCAAGCTGAGGGATCTGAACTGGAGCCAGGAAGCAACATTCAAGATAACCACCAGAGCTCCCCCGAAAATACCACAGCCGTCCTCAACAACAGAGAAGTCCTGAGCTCCTCGAGGGATGAGGAAAGCTGAGTTCCCATCAGGAAAGCCAATGCAACAGCTTTTTCATGAGGCTGAGCAGTGTACTATCTTTCCCTCCAGAGCCAGGAAGTGATCCTCAAGATGAGGATCAAAGCTTCTCCAAAGTTCATTGGGAAAGCCAGTATGACAAGGTCCTCCAGCAGAATAGCCCAAGAGAACTAGCAGCTTCCAACAGCTCCAACAGCTTCTCCAAACAGCATCCCTAACAACATTTTTTGGCAGCTTTTCCTGTTCTGCCTTTATGCTGCTGGCAACAATCCTCAGATGGGCATTCCATACCCCGCCCCACATTAGTTTAATTCAGCTGGGTGTAATAAGTTGACCAGTTAGAAATCTACTACATTGTGCTAGACCTAATATGGTCCTATGAGCTCTTTAAAACAGAAAGACTGAAAGTATGAAGTTGGCTATAGGATGACTGTTGGCTTGAAGACAACACACACATATACCACATCATACACACCCCCAGCTGTCATCAAGGAACTGGAGAACACAGTCCTACAACTGCAAGGAAATAATTCAGCCAACAGCAACTATGAAGTTGGAAATGGATTATCCTTGGGATCATCCAGAAAGCACCCTGCTACTATTTTTATTTGAACTCAGTGTGAAGCTCTACACAGAAAATCCAGCTATTCTGGGCCAGACTCTTGACCTTCAGAGATGAGATGTTAAATCTATGGGAATTTGTTGTATCAGTAATAGAAAATTAATCCATGACCTTACACTCAGATTCACTACTTGTTGACATTTGGCCCCATCTGCTTTATCATTCACAGTATCACATGCTTTTGTGACCCATTTGAGGGAAAATTATAGATACAGTATCTACTTACTCCTACATATACCTGCATTTTCTAAAAGTGGAATTCTCATATATTACAAGCAGAAAATTTTGTATAATATATTGCTATTGTACAACCTACAATCTAAAGTCAAATCTTGCCACTTGTCACAGTAATATCTCATAGAGTATAACTAGTTCTTCCCCAACACAGGCTCCAACCCAGGAGCAGGCCTTGTATTTGACTGCCCTAGTCCATTAGCCTCCTTTAATCAGAATATTCCTCAGTCTTTATTTTTTTTGACCTTAACACTTTAAAGAGTACGTGGCAGTTGTTTCATAGGCTGCCCCTCAATATAGCCTTGTACTGTGCTCCTTCTTGATTAATGTCAAAGTCGTGTGTTTGGAGCAGAGTACCCAGAAGTGACACTGGATTGCTAGTGCATCATACCAAGAAGCACAGGATGTCCTCTTGGCCCATTTTCAGTGGCATTAGCTTTAATCACCTGATTAAGATGGCATGGAGCAGTCTTCATTCTTCTATTTTTTCCTTTTATTACATGCCTTTGAGAGAAGATGTGTAGTTCTGTTGATTTCCATCTGAGTCTTAATATTAGGGTTGTAAGCCTTGTTCTCTATTAATGTTCAAATTATTTCAGATCTGGCCAGAAAGACACCCTTCGTGCTTGGCAGCTGAGGCTTCCTGGCATATGCGTATCATTATTTGAGAATCTAGTTACTGTCTCACAGGACTTTCTAGGTATAACCTGTATTTTCCCCATCTCCGTCATTTCTCCAGGGAGATTTGATTTCTTTTGGATGGGCATCAGGTGTAGAAACCGAGTCTCAGTGTGTCACCTTACTCATTGCCACAGTGCAGCGATTTGCGAATGCGCCCCATGAATCCAAGCTGAAGTGCTCAATTTTAATCTAGTACCACGAGGTCTAGCTATTCTTTCTTCATTCTATATTTGCATTCCCCATTGCCAATAATGGCAAACCTGACTTTCATAGCCCATAAATAAAGGACTGTCAGTATTGTACATGCTTTTACATTTAATTTACATTGTGGTCATTTTGTGTCAGTTAGGAATCTTGTGTTGCAACAACAGAAATTTAGTATAAAGAGAATTTACTGGAAGATGATCAGAAGTTTGCAGAACCAAGACTATGAGTGAAACTACCCCTGTAACTCCATCTAAGTATTTCATCTTATGTGTCTGCCATGGTGCCCAAAGTGTCATTTCTCAGAAGGCAGCCTCTGATGAGCTCAGACTTATATTACATGGCAAGTGGCACAGCTATCCTCAAAGTGCTCTCTATCTTGCCCACCTTCTGGTGTCCATACTTTTGTGCAGCACCTTCTCACATGGGATCAGGGTAGCTCTTTACAGATGTCACATTAAAGGTGAGGAGGCTTTTGTTGCTGCTCCTCGGATCGTTCACCTGGGGGAACTACCACATAAGCAGCAAGAAACGGAAATGTCTTGCCAAAAGTCGTGTAAGTGAACAGAGTCCTCAAAAACCCCTGCTCACACTGGAACAGAGCCGGTTGGTGTGACACAGGAGCGTCACAGAAGAAGCCATGATTGATCACTCATTTGCTATAATTAAAAATAATGGAAATAAGGATGTAAAGAGAATGCTTAGAAATTAAAGCTGGTATTTTTCAGGTACCTTCAAAATGCTCATGAGTTTCAGATACATCCATTTACATATAAATTGCTACATGAATTATAGGTAATCTCATCTACCCATTAAAAGAGCTTGCTCCAAGAATTTCCATAGTTAATATTTTGCTTGGTTTCTGTTGGCATATGTGCTGCAAAATAAGCCAGTTTCGTGGTATTCCATAATACAGATATTTTATCCATAAAGTCAAGCTTGCTGACAAATAACCTTTATTTTATTCTGACCCTCCCTCTCATATTTTTCCATGTTTCTATTTAATTTCTTTTTTACTATAATTACAAATGTACACTAATTAAACAAATTAATGGATCATTGTGGCACTCTATACATGCCTATACTATGCTTAGATATCTTAATTTTTTTAACAAATAATTGATTTTTTAAAATTTTATTTAGGGGGAACTACCCGCTCAGGCCCCCCTCCTGTCCCTCTCTTGGACAGGAGCTGTCATTCTCTCAATAAATATACTCTGCTCATAACCTCTGTTCCTAAAATTCATTCTTCAGTTTTAGAGAACACGAACTCATGCAGGTCAGGTCAGGAGACTGTTTTTCTCTATGTCTATGTCATTTGGAGGTTCCCTGTATGGTTTGGAGGTCACCCACCCGAGACCAGTTTTTCTCCCTGTATCATTTGGAGGTCATCCACTGAGATCACTGGATGGAGGTATGAGTTTGCTTTCCTTTCATGAATTCTGAATTGGGACTTGCTTAGGTAACAAATTTTTATGCTTCAAATGTTAATGTTTTTGCCCATTGCTCACAATTAATTGTTCATACTTTGTCTCATATGGTTTTGTCTCATAATACTGTTAAAATTGTTTACAATTGCTTATGCTTTGTCTTTATGTAATTTTGTTAAAATGTTGGTCAAAATGCTGTTGGTAAATCTAAGTTAAAATACGAAAATGTTACAAGTTTATATTTCTTTAATGGGACATTTTATAACTATTTTGTACTTGTATATGTTGCATTTGAACTGGTATTTCTAAATGTACTGGTATTCCTTGCTTGAATTTAGACAATAGCGCTAGAAAGAGTAACATTTGTAAGCCTCCTACTGGATTTTATGTAAACTTTTGTAAAATGGGACTTTTAGCCAGCTCAGACTTAAAAAATATACATACCTGTATATGAGACATAGGACTCCTTTTGCCAGTTAAATGACATTAGGTCGGCAACCATTCTTAAAGACTTGGAGGACAGGTTTCACTGGGATAGACTGATTCTGATCCCCCTGTACATGCTAGAGGGAATGTCAGGCCTGCTCTATTTCAGTTTCCTTGCTTTAACTTTACTCCTAATTTTCCCACCTCTTTGTATTTTCCTTTTTAGAGGCATGTAAAATTAGGAAAACTCTGACCATTCCAACTAAGTGAAGCCCTTAGAAAATGAGCACTTATTAACGCCCAAGACAGAGAATTCATTTTAGAAAAAGGACACATACCCCATCTCTGGGTCAGATGAGACAAAGAGGACTATGCCCGTCCAGGAGGACACATATAAAAGCCATGTCCCGGCTTAGTCTTCTGGGCAGGTCTCCTTTGGGAGGCTAAACCTGAGACACGGTGGAGAGAACTGACTTCTGGGTGACACCAGAAGGAGCTATCTCCAAAAGCAGCACACTTATGGGACCAAAACACAATTAGTGTGAGGGAAGATTCAATCTTTCCTCCTAGGTCTAGTTATCATTGTGCATAAG